ATGTTTTACCACAACAAAATTTTAAGTTTTCTGAGTGGTAAAATGAAATAATCTACAAATTGCCCAAATATGGAGATACGACAGTTTACCTCTGTGCTACTGATATATATATATATATATATATATATATATATATATATATATATATATATATTATATATATATTATATATATATATATTATATATATATATATATATATATATATATATATTATATCCTATATTCTCGATCTACTGAATAAATAAAATATGACCTGGTAATTTTTCTGGTGCCGGTTCAGACTTCAGTCAATTCCATGCGATTACGCGTCCTCTCTCTTTCCTTATCTAAAATGAGAGCTGCGACGTAGCTACTGGCAATACATACTTTTTTAGCTGCATTCTATAAGAAAAGAGAAGGGTACGAGTAAAACAATATAAAAATGAGTTTTCTAGAAATTAAAATAAAATCATAAGAATCAATATGAAATTTTATATCATACGTAACATTGTCAACAGTAAATTGACACATACTATATATTTGTTAACCTACCAAACTAAAATAACTCTATTTTTTAAATGCTAAGAATAATATACCGAAAATAAAGCTATTCGTCGATTTTTTATATGTTTTAGGATTTCACCAATTGGAGTATTCTTCCTGGTAGCTGCTAAAGTCTTAGAAATAGTGAGCTTCGCTGATCTCATTGGCAGACTGGGTTTATACTTCGCAACCGTATTGACTGGATTGTTTTTACATGGATTTGGCAGTCTGTCGTTAATATACTTTATAGCTGTGAGAAAGTTACCTTTCAAAACTATTGTTCAGCTAAGTCAAGTTTTAGTAACAGCATTCGGCACCGCTTCTAGGTAGGAGGATAGCATGTGCATGTCAATTGTCACAATGTTAATGTTTGTTAATTAGGTAATTATTTTAGACTACAAATATTATTATAAAGTTTATACAGTGTTAGTGTTTTGTCGAATTTATCTACGTTAGGTAAGATTTAACCCAAAAACAACAGAATACGTCACTAAATTTAATTTTGCTTTAATTTTCAATAATATTGAGATCATAATTTTTTTTTAAAGCATTTAAAAAAACTTTGTCTTTATGACTTGTGTTCCACTGAAATTGAACCAGTCTAATACTGTCGCTGTACAGCATGTGTCTTAAGATCGTCTGAGGTGTTTATCTCAGACAATCTTAAGATCATCGTAGTTGTTTACCTTTCTCTTTTTTGTTCCCTTAGTCGTCTTTATATTCTGTAAATTCTCATTTATATTTTACTGGACTCAACAACTGGAGTAAATAATCTCCCGGCTTAACTATATAAAGATGGCGGCCAAGATAAAAAACCTACAGCATTTTATTAAAAAATGACTCACACCATAGTGATTTCAATACTCCTCACCATATACAAGAAAGAAGATATCTTCGAATGCTTTAATTACATATTAGTTACGCTTCTAAATACAATGTAAAAAATATTTTCCACTTTATAATATGTCAGAAATCATCATTGGTATTAATGCTACAGACCTATAGTAGATCCTGTACCTTCCCAAGTATATTTTTCCAGTAATCCCTATCCATTGCTAAACGTTGCCAGTTTTCTGAACTATTTTTATAGCATTATCATCTCCACCATCCTTTCATCTAAGTTTTGGCCCATCTCTTTATTTACTTCCTACTGGCTGTGACATAAGGATTCATCTAGGAGGGTTATTCTGCTATGATCTTGCTAGATATCCTGCCCATCTTAGTCTTCACATTTTTATGAGAAATATTACGTCTTTACCACGTGTGTATTTGTGGTAGGTCTCATATTTGTACATCCTTTTTCAAATACTGTTTTCACAGATACTACCAAATAGTTCTTTAAAGATTCTTCATTCAAATATGAACAAAAGGTTTTTATCTATCTTGAAGATGGTCCTGTTTCCGATCCATATGCCAGCATTGGCACTATAAGGGTTTTGTATTTCGTTATTTTTGGTTTCTGGTTTTAGTTTCTACTTTTCATGTGTTTACGTAGCAAATGGCACTTGTTTGCCAGAATTATTCTACCAGAATTATTCTTGTTTGATTTCTTCCATTATGAAATTGTAACTGGTCATCAAGGAGCCTAAATATGTGAATTTGTCTACCAGTGCAAACGCAGAGTTACTAACAGTCAATTGGGGACAGATGTTTCTGGCTTTGTTGTCAGCTGTTAATGGTTTTCATCATTTTGGTATTTTATTTATTTGCAGGCACATATTTTTTTGAGGCAATTCAGAAAGTAATAAATTTTTCATATAGATATCTGTTGTACGATTAATTAGATCTAGATCACATGCGAAGGCCATAATTTATAAGGATCTTCTAAAGATATTTCCTCTTCCTTAAACGCTGGTAAGCTTGTAGCTTTTACTAGACTTATTAGTTTATTGCGAATGCGGAATTCGTCCATGGCTTCATACAATTTACTTCGTAGCTCACTATCATAGCCTGGCTTAAAATCTATGAAGACGTGATAAATATAGATACTGAAATCAATTGAATTCGCTGGTTTTTTCCAGTATCTACCTCAGCATAAAAATCTGGTTCATTTTTAATCGAACAGACCTAAAACACGCACGCTTTGGTTGAAAAATTTAAAGCAGTGGAGTGAAAAATCAACAATAGAACCTCTTCAGTACTGCTGCACACAAAGTAAAATAGGCCGTAATAATCGCCAATGTCCTTAAAGAATAAGGCATATGAACACGAAGAGAAGGCCTTAAACCACTTTCATATTGGCCAAGAGTCTTCTCTGAATACGCACTTAGGCGACCATAATGGATACTCAAAAATATTTTGTATGCTGTGTTAAGAAGTGTTATGTACTTATGGTTTAAGCATTCCAATTGATCACCCTTTTTGTGTAACATACGAACAATTCCAGTACACCACTCTTTCGCGATCTGTTCCTCATTCCAAGTTTTTATTATTATTTTATATATCCCATTAGTGAGACTATCACCCTTATATTTAATAAGTCTTCAGACATACCGTCACTTCCTGAAGTTTTGTTGTTGTAATGGTGTATTGTTTCTCACTTTGCTATAATGGTGTACCACGATAATTTAACCAAGTTTGTTCAACAAAGAACCATTGAAAACCAAGAGAGCCGAAGAAGTAGCTTATCACCTTTTTATCACCATTTTTTTTAACATTTGGTGCTTCCCCAATATTACATTCGAATAATGGTAGGGAGTTCAGTAATCGAGTTATATCTGAGCAATGCACTATGACGAAAGATATAAAAATAGTGCACGGAAAGACTGGTTACTGTCAAACCCAAGAATCAGTAAAAAAAAACAAACATACAGAATATATTAACTACGTGAATGCAAGATAATGATTCAAATAAATGGTCAGAAGGTTTGCCGTTTATTCAATTAGCCAAAAATATAACTTATCACGAAGGAGTACACCAGAGTCCATATGAAGCCATGTTTGGCGGTAAACCAAAAAGGGACTTAGCCTCGTCATCTCTTCTTTTCAGTGAAATTGAAAAAATTAAAACTGAAACGGCTAAAAGCCTATTTAAAAAAATTTGATTGGAACAGATCCGCAAAACTAGCATCTCAAGCATCGACTGAGCCGCAGTGTAACACTTGTATATCTCAAGAAATAGCTATTTCGCAGCCAATCACATCTTCATCCTAAGTACTGGCTGAACAGCATGAGCAAATTTCTTTAAAGCGAGCAGCTGCAAAAGATAATCTTTTACTTCAAGCAACAACAAAACCCCAGAAGCAAAGTTCCCTCCGGCCCAAATAGGTGATCCTGTGAGAATTAAAGTGCCTGATGTTGACCCTGGTTACACTGACCCACAAAATGTGTTAGCGGTTGTTGTTAAAATAGAGGATTTAGACTATTATAAATAAGCAAGCAAAAATTATACTTTTAAGCAGCTTTTCGCAGGTAATTAGTTGGCAATTTGTAAAGAAAAATTACTTGCCGTGGCTAAGATTGCAACTGATGAAATGTCGCCAAGAGAAGCAGCTTGTCCCCAATTCGAAAAGTGTAGGACCAGGTTATACACGTTGTAACTGCAAACGGAAGTGTTCCACGGATAATTGTAAAAGCAAGCGTCTTTTGTGCAATTTGAAGTTTCATGGTAGTATAAGTTGTTGCAATAAATAAGATGATACATAATACATTTCTTTTGTTTTGTTTTTGGTTTTTTCATATAATGAATCGAACTTAAAAAATGTTTCTCTGTTATGGTAATAATATTTTAGTTACCAATCGCTATCTGCGCTGTTTATTTTAAATACAATAATCTTCTTATGTTTATTAAAACAATTTTACCAAATAAAAAACATACCCAACGATTTTTTTAGTTTTACTTGATAAAAAATATATGTTTTTAACATACACCAAAAATGTATGTTGAATGTCGACATTCACCGGTGAATGTTAGAAAATATATTTAACCAATAATTCGAATATACGCCAAGCGACTTGATAAATGTTGACATTCACTGGTGTATCTCGACATTGACTGGATTTCAGGCTTTCACAGTAACATATATATACTTATAATTTTATTTTTAAACGTATTTAATACGCTTTTGATTGCAATTTAAAAGGCTTTATGCATAACTAATTTAACTTTTATAAGCTTTGTGCACAGAGCTGTATTACATATCAATACAGGGGAATAAACCAGGAATTTTTTATTATACATAATGTTTTTTCTTGCTCTTTCGTCTTAGTTATGACAAATGTTTTATCTAAATTGTATACTTTAAGTTGTGATACGTAGCTATCAAACAACCTTAATTTAAATAAAGTTAGAAATCTAAATTTTGTAACCTGGAAATATTACAAAAAAAAACAGATAATTAAATCGAACATCATTAAAAATAAAAAGTGATTGTTTTTAGTTCAGCAACCATGCCAATCAGCATCCAAACTATGGATCAGATGGGAGTGGATCCTAGGGTCACCCGGTTTGTTATTCCTATCGGAGCTACTATCAATATGGATGGAACGGCATTGTACGAAGCTGTAGCTGCTATTTTTATAGCTCAACTTAAAGACATACCACTTACATTTGGGAAAACGGTTGCAGTTTGGTGAGTAAGCTCTTTGTTTTCTGTCAATAGGTTTCTCTAATACAGGGTTATTTTTTTTAACAGTAACATACGCTAACTGAAAAAAAAGGACACTAGGTGATCTCAAATTTCCATACTTAATAGGTCTTACTTTATCAATAACAATGTTACTGAGTGTTTTACTATTTTGCCGCCTTCGTTATATTTGGAACACAAACATTCTTGTTAAATAGGAGATATATAAATTAAAGGAGTTAAATAAGAAATAATAAATAAGACTTACTCACAATCAATTTAATTTAACTATCAGACGACCGGTTTCGCTTTCTACAATATGCAAAGCACCCTCAGGTCTCGATACAAAGTTAAACAAATGATGTCGGTACTCTATTAATAGATGGATGGTAGAACATGGTTGAAACTACTTTATATTGTTGAATGGAGAACTCAATTCTACTATTGCAGTTGTTTGACAGTAAACGGGAAGTTCTTGAGGAGATAGATTTGATCCAATGAAGAAGAGATATGTGTGAGATTGTTTGTTAAATGTAAGTGATGTAATATACCATTGTGTTATTAAAAGCTATTTAAACTTATTCCAGAGATATATTTTTGAAATGTGTGTTATTTATTGAGTAATTGTTTTATTAAGGTGATAGTTTTATGACAATGAATAAGTTTATAATAAAAATAAAAAAAATAATAAAAATTGTGTGGGTGTGCAATTATTTTCCAACTTGTAGTTATCAAATTACTTTGATAAAGTTCTATTGGTAATGAGTTAATTATTGGAATAGTCAAGTAAATAAAATGTTAAAATACAAACAATTAAGGATAATTTAAGGATAAGGATAATTTGTTAGGATATCGTCTGATAGTTAAATTAAATTGATTGTGAGTAAGTCTTATTTATTATTTCTTTACCTATTTGAAATGGACTCACACAAGCAACACATTCATGATTCTTGTTAAAGTTATTAACAGATACCCTGCATGGCAACGTAAGATTCTCAATAGGGTTGCTGAGCCTGAGACGATGTCTGTGTATGGGCTCTAGATGAAAACTATGGGTTCTAATTGCCATTAGTATAGCGACACAAGATATCATAGGGTACTATGAATACAAATAGATTTACTATAAGACAAATTTTGATTTATTGTCTTAAAGAAGTCTAGCTGAATACAACATAATCAACTGATCGAATGCCAACATGCAATATAGCAAATGAAAGGATAAAATATAACGAATATATTCAGATATAAAACGAACAAGGCAACAATCAAAAGGGCACTATACAGTATCTTCATTATTAATGAACGCATAGTGACATACGAGATATCCTAGGGCACTATAGATAAAAATAGATTTACTGTAACATAAATTTTTAGATTTATTGACTTAAAGAAGGCCTCTTACTGTATACAAATTAAACAACTGATCGAATACCAACGTACGACATATCAAATGAAAGGAGCAGATATATCGAATATATTTAGATAGAAAAAACAAACAAGGTACAACTACTAAAGGCACATTGAACAGACAGAGCCATGTCTACATAAAAAGAAGAATAAAAAGAAAAAGAATATTGATAAAAAAATGGAAATTTTCATTAATTTTCAAAAGATTGACCTATCTTTGGATCTGGATCTGATCAACTATTTATGGTAATCACCAGACTTATTCGACTCAAATATCCAGAGGAATTTAGAAAAACAAATTCTCGCTACTAATGTGACAAATAATTCACTAATTTTGCTAATAAAAAAGTCTTTTACCTTTTCCAAAAAATTTAGTATTTGTAAGTTTTGAGATTTGAAATATGTAGAATGTAATAAATTACTTAAAGGATTTTTGAATCTCGATGTTAATCCATCCAAAAAGCTTTTTTAGGTGATTTAACTGTAGTATCTACCGATATTTTAGATTTTGTGTGCTCAGCGTTCAACCATGTCTCATCCAGACAATAAAATATGCGTTTCTCTTCTCTTTAAGTCCTTATCTGTTGTAGATATTCTCGTCAAGGCCATTTCTTCCCCTGCGTTGATATCGAAAATTATTTTTTTTAATATTCCATAAAATGTGGTTTTCGTCAAATTTGGCAAATCAAAATCATTGTTTACCTCCTATAAAATACTATCCACGTTGGGTATTTTGTTTCTCATAAAAAATTTTCTTATTCACCATAAATAAACTTCAATGACAAACTTCAGCTTTACTGGCCACTTTTTTTAGCTTTAGATAAAGCTGTATGCTTTTTTTAAATATCTTCAATGACTAACCTGGGATTTTCTATTGTTTCGTATTTAAATACATTTCAAATTATTTCTTCAGCGCTAAGAAAATTTCTTGTACTTCGTTTTCGAGAAGGACTACATGAAATTACATAATCACGTATACAGATTAAAGCCGTTATAAAGATAAAAATAAATACTTAAGTAGTTTTAAAAAGCACAAAAAATAATTATTTGTCCAATATTAACATCATAAACATAAATTGTCCTTTAAACATCAAAAGACAAATACATTAGTAACAAATCCATTCAAAATACAATACTTTAATAATAAAATAGTAATTCTAGTCCGAACCTGTATTAGTTTCCGACGACCGCGATGTTGAGTAGCAACTTTTCCAGTAAACTAGAGATGGTTATTTCCTTTAGTTTTTGAATATTGACAGCGATAAAGAAGAATTCTATGATGAGCTACAAACATTAGTGGAAAGAGAAGTGAAGCAAACTGAATTATTTATATTATTGGGAGATTTCAATGCCAGAATAGGAGATGAAGTAATACCAGGAATAAAACGTTTTAACGAAAGAGTTATCAATGAAAACGGAAAGATAATGGTGGAATTCTGCACATTAAACGAACACCACGAGAATAACCAACACATTTTTTTATCATAAAATTCAACACAAATACACGTTTGAAAATACAAGAGGACATAGATCAATGAAAGATTATGTGGTCAAAAACAGAAATATTCACCATAAACAGATAGTGGATGTGAGAAGTTTGACGTCACCCAATGTGGAAAGCGATCACTATTTGGTACTTGGTAAAATTAGATTCAATGAAAGATGGAAAGAGAAGCTTAAACAAACCAATTCAGAGGAAATAATAAAAATAGAAAATTTAAGAGATGACTCCAATAAAATCATTATATCAAAAAAGGCTAGAACAGAAAATACAAATGGAGAATATCGAAAATGAAAGCAATGTAGAGACTAGCTGGAGAAAACTTAAGAAAAATATTCTGAATGCTACCCGAAAAGCTCTAGGAACGAAAATAATAAAAAAAAATGGGTCAACGAAAACACCATGGTTTACACTAGAGGTTAAGCAAAAATGTCACCAAAAAAAGAAAGATTTTCTAAAATATAAGTCAGAAAAAACGAATGAATCATATGAAGAATATAAAAGAATAAGAACTGAAACTCATCAGTTGGTAAAAAAAACAGACTACTGGGAAAGATTCACAAAAGGACTAGAGATGGATTTCTATGGACAACAGAAACAAGTATGGCGCTTCATAAAACAACAAAGAAGCGAAATGCAAGAAATAGTTCAAATAGAACACATACAAGAGAATACATGGGTGGCCTTTCTGACAGAAATGTTTAAAAAATAAAACGAAGAACCTTTACCAGAAACGCCAAATATAATGACTGAGGAAAAGATTGAAAAGATGTGAAAGAAGGAATAAACAAATTAAAAAACGGAAAGTCACCAGGACAAGATCAAATACCAAATGAACTCTTAAAATATGGAGGTGATTACCTTGTACAATAACTGCAACTTCTTATTAATAAAATAATCACCACGAACAGAAACCCAGATGAATGGAGGAGAGCGATCATGGTGATGTTGAAATCGTAGGCTTCCACGGCCAGAGTCAGAATTATAGTTTATTAGTCTTCCGGGTTTAGACTGTGTCATTTGTGAGTGACCCAAAAGTGGGTTCATCTCGACGTTTCGCTACAATTGTATGTAGCTTCTTCAGGAGAACAAAGAAAAAGAAAAAGAAGACAGGAAGATGGGTAGTTAGCAACGGTAACTCAGTTACTCAACGCAACCGTAGGCGAATACTAACTACCAAGATGGGCATTTGGTCACAGTAACTTAACTACTCAACGCAGCCAGAGGTGAAAACCAAATGCCAGGACAGGGATTCACGTCCAACATCTCAGAACACTAACGCGTCGAGAGGCGGGGAGTGAATCCGAGTAGTTGAGTTACTGTGACCAAATGCCCATCTTGGTAGTTAGTATTCGCCTCTGGTTGCGTTGAGTAACTGAGTTACCGTTGCTAACTACCCATCTTCCTGTCTTCTTTTTCTTTTTCTTTGTTCTCCTGAAGAAGCTACATACAATTGTAGCGAAACGTCGAGATGAACCCACTCTTGGGTCACTCACAAATGACACGGTCCAAACCCGGAAGACGAATAAACTATAATCATGGTGATGTTCTTCAAAAAAGGAGATAAGAAAGAAACCAATAATTATCGAGCAATAAATCTATTAAATACAACACTCAAATTGACAACAAGAATAATGGCGATAAAAATAAACGAATAAAAATCTCTGCAAAAGGAACAACAAGGATTTCGGACAGGAAGATCATACACGGATGCAGTTTTTGTAATAAGACAAATAAAAGAAAAGTCGCTGGAATACAACCAACCAGCATATATGTGTCTGATAGATCTGAAGAAAGCGTTTGATAGAGTGAGAATTCAGGACGCGATACATTTATTATATGAAAAGGGAATATCACTGGATCTAGTAAAAACCATTGAGAATATATATAAAGATAACATAGCTATGGTAAGATGAAACGAAAACCAGGATATATAAATCAACAATAAGAACGATAATGACGTATACAGCGGAAACAAGAGCAGATACGGCGAAAACAGAAAGACTGCTGGAAACAACAGAAATTAAAGTCTTACGAAAAATAACAAACCAAACTCTAAGAAACGGAGTAAGAAGTGAGGAAAAACAGGCGAGATGTGGTATAGAGGAAATAAACGCGTGGACCAAAAGAAGAAAAGTGGAATGGAATCAACATATAGAAAGAATGACAGAAAATAGAATAGTACGAATAGCAAGAGACAAATCGCCAAATGGCAGAAGATCATTGGGACGACCGGGGAAAAGATGGTCAGACAACGTTAATTGAGGCTAAAAACCAAAGTAAAACAGGCATTAAGCCTATTTATAAAGTAGGAAGAAGAAGAAGTTTTTGAATATTCTCAGACAATCGTTTAAATTATTCAATAATTTAATTAATATGATTATTCTTTCACTAATTATGTATTCATTAATTACAATCATTTAAATACTATGCAATAAAAACTAATAATCTGGAAAAGAGAAAAATTGATAAAGTGGTCTTAATAATATACTGTTCCTATCGGAACGAATAGATCAATTTTGAACATCTTTAACAATTAAAATAAAATGTTATCGTTGCTTACCCCCCTGCATCGCTTGTTGAAACTTATAATGTATAACTACAAAAATATTTAAAAAAAAGTGATAAAAAGTATAGATGTCGTTGCTAGTTCAAGTATAGAACTCTAAATAATATTAAAAAGAGTTTATTGTATGACTTTTTTATTCGTGTTTTAGAAAATATCTTATTTAAATAGTTTAAATAAATAATAAAAACAAATTTGGTATCTTTACAGTGTAACAGCAACAGCGGCGAGTATAGGAGCTGCGGGCATTCCACAGGCTGGCCTCGTTACTATGGTTATGGTACTAGACACGGTGGGACTCCCTTCAGAGGAAGTTATTAACATCATTGCAGTAGATTGGCTTCTGTGAGTATCAATTTAATAATTGGATATGTGTCTCTCATCCTACGGTAAAATATACTTATCAATCGGATATGATTTAAAAAGAGCGAATTTGGCTACACGAAACGATTTTGGTGCACATGACCTCAGGTTTCTTTCGTTTATTGAATTATGTTTTGATCTTAATAGCACATTGTTATGGTTAGTGTATATTAACGACATCCAACTTAAAATTTGGTTTTTTGAAACGGATTTCCTTTTTATGGATCCGTAGGTATGAGTATTAGTCACGACTGCTAAAAGCATAGGCGTGGCTACAGCGGGATCCGCGCGTGCCGGGCGCCCACACTAACTTTCGAACGGCGCAAAATTGAGATCTTTCACTTTTAGAAACAACTAATCTCTGAACATTTTGAGTAATAAAAAATAAACGAGAATAATCGAGAACTAAAACGTAAAACTTTTGTAATAAATAAGTTAAAAACTATAAGTAAGGTAGAAATATCTAATACGGGCCACCTTTGGTAAATTGAACGAGGGGATAAAAAATTTTGCTCGAAGAAAATATTGAGGGCGATAGAATAAGAAGTTCCGATAAACGCCTAACAGGTTAAAAAAGCTCTATGCATTTACCAGGGGACTTTTATTACTTTTTTTTGTTTTTTTAAGGTAAATAATATTTATGTATATTAAAAACAAACTAATCAAAAGTAATTATACTGTATATAGGGTTCCATTCATTTTCGTTTCAGCTTTTTAATCGTTTTTTATGTTTTTTTCATAATTAATTTCTTAATAAATTTTATTCCCTAATACAACAATTAACTTACTATACCTAATACGGGCCATCTCGAATATTTATAATCTTAAATGCTTTTATTGTGGATTTATTTATGATTTAGCGTTTTGAAATCGGATATATATATATATATATATATATATATATATATATATATATTTATATATATATATATATATATATAAGGATCACTCAGACGAGTGGTGGGTTCTTATATCGGTCTCAAGGTGGAGAAATAAAAGACAAAGTTGATAGGCTACTTTATCTATTTTGAAGACGTTTCGCTTTCGTGTTTTGAAAGCATCATCAGTTCATCTAAAAAGTACAATATGAAAACCACACAATCATGGAAATGATGTTAATTGTTACCTTAAAAAGACATGTAGCAGTCAAAGTTATTTACAGTAATGTGAATGAAACTTAAGTAAATGGACATAATACGCTGATATTGTATAAACAATCAAGTAACTAACAACATTTAAAAATTAGCACAGCAAATGACCATGTGGTCTAAAGTAAATGAAATGTTATTTAATATTAATTAGTGAAAAAGAACCAAGAAAATCATAGACAACTTCCAACTATTTAATGATTTTTAAGCTTTGATTTTAACTTTAGCTAGCATTATAAGTGATATTAATAAAACTTTTTAATTTAAAAAAGTAGTGTAAATGAAGTTACCGATCAAAGCCCTACAGCTGTCGCCGGAAAAATGGCGTTAGATGAACCAGAACGAACTAAACCGCAAGACAGCCAACCTTGAGGTCAAAAATACTTTTGACAGATCAGCAAGGTGGAGGTACCAACCCAAATATTGGGCGGTCAATTTAAAAGTTTTAATGAGTTTGGATGGCTACCCGGTTGCAAAAGACAAACCATATATCAACTTTGTCTTTTATTTCTCCACCTTGAGACCGATATAAGAACCCACCACTATATATATGTATATTAGATTGGCATACATGAGTTAAAAAAAGATAGAAAACATCGTTCAAATATAATAGAAAAACAATTCTGTGCCCGATGACCCTTGGTTAGATTTACCAAAAGAAAGATTAGAAAGATCTTCTAGAATAGTAAGAGGTTCTTACCAACCACAACTAGAACAGTTTCTAGCCAAAATAACAGGCAAAAGGATAAACATTAAAAGTTGGTAGGTTTTACCCCCTGGTATTATAACTTCAAATGGTTAAAATATAGTCCAAGAAAAGTTGCAGCTTTCTGTTTTTTTGTGCAGATGTTTTGGTATGAACGACAGTACTTACTCTAGATTGATAGAGACCACGTTTATTTCTAGTGAATTTTCATCATGGAATAAGGCTGCAGAACGATTTAAAATACATCCGAATACAAGGTGCCATGAATTTAAAATAGAAACTTCAAGTTATAACGAGAATAACTCCAAAAAAGAAGCTGAACTAAAATTTAAATTATATAAAGAAACTAATTGATATAATTACAATTCTAGTAAAAGGTGAAAAACGTCCTCGTGCTCATGATGAAACGAAAGAAAGCAATGAAAAAGGATTTTTTCTCGAAATTGTATAATTTCTTAATCCTAAATATTACCTAACATTTAAGGCACTCTTGAAATCGGTCCCAAACAACTGCACTTATCTTAGCACCTACATTTAAAATAATGTTTTACGTTCTCTCAAAAATGTAAGGGATATTAAAAAAAAAAAAAGTGAAAGAGCAGCCTCTTTCTGTGATTGCAGACGAGACTTCTGATGTCTTACACCACGAGCAGATTGCTATTGTTTTTAGATATATTCCCAAAGGTAGTACGTTTTGAGTTGAATGACTGGTAACATTGAAACGTTTAAATTTAACTGATGCCGAAACCATTTTGAACTAATAAATTCTAAATAAATCATAATATTTCAATAGAAGTTGACGAATTTTTATGTATTTTTGGGAATTTTAATTTTAACTTGTTACGTTTCATTACCTAGGCGAAGAATATATTCTGAACTCCAATAATACACATAATATTTTAGTAATGAAATCTATAAGGCGCAATAAATTTGAAGAGATATTTAGATATTTCACGCTAATAATAACAACTACCTTGCCGAAAATCATAAATTGGCCAAGATTAGACATTTCATCGAAAAATTAATTACAAAGTTTTTAACGTTTCCATCAATTAAAAATCAAATTTCTATTGACGAATCTATGATACCTTACTTTGGTCATAATATGTACACATAATATAAACAATTTATTTGCGGCAAACCAATAAGATTTGGCTATAAAGCATGGGTAATGGATTTATCAAATGGATAGAATTTCAAGATAGATAGATGCATGATATGAATGTTTCCGAAAGGATGTTAAAGCTGTATGCTTTGTCGGAGCTCCAGCGATGTCAGGAAACTTCACTGGTGTACAGAAAAGATGTAAAGAGAAAAATATTAAAATTTTGTATATTTATTGCTATGTTCATTGCCTCACTTTAGCATTATTAGCTGCTTGTGCTAATCATATTGATAATCCAAAGATTTTCGATTTTTTTAATGTAACACAATTGGTTTATCCAAAATATTACAGACAGTCCAAAATGATACGCTGTTTTTGAAGAGATTGTGAAGATCGTAAATAATAACTTTGAAATCTTCATTTGAAATATATTGGGCTTGTCGTGCTGAGGCAGTTGCTTTGATCAAAAATCAGCTTGAAGCAATTATAGATGCCATTGAAGAGATAGTTGATGATGCAACTGATGCAAAAGCTAGAGCTAACGGTAAAGGAATACTACATCAAATTAAATCTTTTAGTTTTATTATGTGTTTGGAAATAGTGCATTCAATTCTGCAAATGGTTGTCAAAATTAGCAAATTACTTCAATCACCAGACATAGATATTTGTTAAGCTATAGAAGAAGTTTCAAACTTGGCGCTTGATTTGGAAAAATTAAGGATCAAACCATCTATATTTAATAATATTTATTCCAAAGTAAGACACGCTTGTGATAAACTTCAAATTGATATTCCTACACCGAGAAAACGTAAAGTTTCTACTAGATTAGATAATAATGCTGGCAATGCATTTACAGTCAACGGTAAAAAAAGTGAAACTCTTTGTATTTTATCTATACACTTTTAGAGCGAATGATTCAGTCATTAAACGATAAATTGGCCCAAAAATAAAAAAATATTTATTCAGTAGGCAAAATCATCTCGATAACTATAGATGAGCTAGGAAATCAAGATTTGAAATACACCTTAGAACATTTTGATTTGAATTTTTTAGAATTATAATTAAGAGTTTTAAAAACAAAAAAAGTAAAAACTTCTTACCTTCAAAGGCTCTCGACTGGCTCGATTGGATGTCTTAGCACAGTGGTTCTCAACCGGTGTTCCGCGGAACACTAGTGTTCCGCGAATTCCTTTCAAGTGTTCTGCGAAATAATCGCAATCCTACATACCATTTTGCTAAATTACTCTTTTCAAATAAATATTTTCAAATTTTAAAATAGCCACTTACGTACATTTTAGTTTAATAAAATTCTGCAGCGTAAATGTTCAGTTGCCAAAGTGTTCCAAAACGTTGGATTTTATAAGCGCTGAGCGCTGAGCTCCGCAGTGGCCACAGCCAATCTGAGTCCCCCACGCCACAGTCTGCAACTGAATGTTGAATTTGTTTCATTGCACAAACGTAATACGAGAAAATCGCTGTGTCAGTTTTTTTTTATGATAACGTTTACGTACGGCTTATCTATCAAAGGTAAGTAATTGCATATTTTATACAAAATGTGAAGCATTCATCCGCATTATTTTGTTTAGAGACGAATAAATTAAAATGGATAAGTTCCTCAAACTTAAAAGAAAAACTAAGTGGGGTTGATGACAAATCGAAGCGCAGCAAAAAAATGTTGAACCGGCAATATTTGGATGAATATTTGGATTATGGCTTCATTTGGACTGGGGAAGAAGACTGTCCAATTCCCAAGTGTATTGATTGTGGGCAGACACTCGCTAATAGCGCAATGGCTCCGGCTAAATTAAAACGCCATTTTACTACCAAACACGCTAGTGTAGCTTCAAAAAATAAAGATTATTTCAAGCGACTTTTGGAGACACAAGCTAAACAAGCGAAACAATTTGAAAGGTCGCTAACAATTTCGGACAAAGCACAAATAGCTTCATATAAGGTCGCCGAATTAATTACTTTGAAACAGAAACCACACACTGTTGCAGAATCTCTTATATTACCAGCATGTTGTGAGATGGTCAAAATTATGTTTGGCAACGATGCACAAAACGAAATACGGAAAATTCCTATGTCGGATGATACAATAAGAAGGAGGATTGTTGATTTATCTGCAGATATTGAGGAAAAAGTTACAAATAAACTTTACAAAAAAAACTTCGCATTGCAGGTGGACGAATCCACTGATATTAGTGGCAAAGCTCATTTATTAGGATTTATTCGATTTGTCGACGAAGGTGAAATAGTCAATCAGTTTTTATGCTGCAGTGAACTTATATCAATATATCATGGGACTTTTGCGTAGGAATTTGTACGGATGGTGCCCCTTCCATGGTAGGCTCCATAAAAGTCTGCTAAACTTAGAACAAGAAATGAGAGTAGCTCTTACCCACATCAGGCCTGATATTGAGCAAATTTGCAAACGACACCAGGCACAAGTGCCTCACTAATTTGAAGTATTTACTCATATGATGTATTTTGAGAATTACGCTTTTGTTAATTTTAAAAATGTTTTTTGTTTTCATATTTTAAGTAAAATTTTACAAATTTGAGTACGTATAATAAAGTTTATTACAGAATTTATGTGCTAATCCTAATTTGTTTATCAATATATGCATGTTATTGCTTTGGTGTTCCGCAATTTTTTTCGGTAATTAAAAGTGTTCCGTCGCCACAAAAAGGTTGAGAACCACTGTCTTAGCATAATAGAAAATCGATGTTTCCAGTATTTAACTACTAATGGTAAAATTTGCCACAATTATTGTAACAATTTGTATTTGTGAGAGAACTTTTTCTAAGCTGAGCATAATAATGGTGCCTTTTGTTGAACAAGAAATTGTTTTAAATTTAGATAAAACAGTGTAGTTGACGAAATTTAAAAAAATCGTACCATTCCATCGAAGAATGGTATTGTAATATGTTGTTATAATAGATTTTTAATGTCAATCTGAATTTTTAATATTTTTGAAAACTAATGTGTAACAATATTACTTCTTTTCTTTTATTTATGTACTACATATATTTTTCATTTTTACAGAGATAGATTTAGGACAACTATCAACGTAATGTGCGACTGTTTGGGTGCACAATTGGTAGACTACTTAAGCGTGGGCGAACTCGGAGCTTTAACAGAATCTGATAAAGTAAACGCTCAACCTCAAGAACTGATTGAAATATCAAAAGTAGATAGCAACGTGAGTTAAGAAGTTTTAGGGAAATTTTAGTGTTTTGTGTTACATGTCGACGTGTGTCAGGGTTAAGTTATGTCTCTTGACTGATGTAAATGAAAACAGGTAGCACGCTAAGCATACACAGAAAAAATAATTTACAAGTATAAATATTTAATGATATTCAAGGATAATATTCCACACGTTACTTATTACAAGTTTATTACTTTAAATTATAAAGAATTAGTTGCTATAAAGGATGTGAACATGAAATAAATATTGGTTTTAATGTCGACTGTGTTTTTAGCCTAATACCATTCCTTAAATATTAGCTTTCTTAAAAAACAATGCACAGTTCTTCTGTCTTGATTTTAAGAAAATTGACTGTTTTTTCTTAGTGTGACAGCCGACATATCTCGAACGATCCTCGCCATTCTAGCTCCTTCCATTCTTTTAATGTTCCATTCGACTGTGTAAAGGGTTCGACTGTGTATTTTTACATGTAGCTGATCACCGACGGAAGTGACGTCACATCATCGTAATGTAAACATAGTTATCCCCAATATTTTTAACGTATTCTTTTTGGTAAATGAATAAATTCATTAAATTGTTAATATTTTGCATCCAGTTACCTCAGTGGCATGCGATGTGCAACTGCGTATCTTTATGGTGGATCTCGTTCCTAACTGGTATTGACTGGTTAAAAGGTTCTTTCATTTGATTTGTACTCAAATTTCTTCAAAAATAACGTAATACCTTTACTTCACTTTTACTCCAGTCGTCAGAGACGAAAATGCCACTGAACCTCTAAAAATCATACGATTTTTAGGATTCCACTTCTACCTCCAGGCTCCCCCTAAAAACCCCTCTGGCAAAGGGAAAAAACGGAAAAAATCGATTTACCAAGAATGTGTACGCCGAAGAAAAAAATATTTGAAATAAAAAATGTAGCTGAGATAATTTTGAACAAAAACATTTATTAGCACTTTTTGTGTAAAATGAACCATTCTCTCAGAAAAAACGGTTAAATCGAATTGAAATTGAGTTTTAGGGGAAATCCGGGGGATAAGGGTGGTAAACTTGTTTCCATATTTTTTGGGATCCTAAAATTTAACTTCTTAGCAAATACCCAGTTTAACCTGAGAATAAAAAACCACATGAAGGCGTGTTTGTTCTTCAATATATTGATCAAAATAGAACAGTCGTATTGGGTCTACAGGTTTCCTTTTTACCAGTGGTGTACTGTTTTTACGGGAATATATCGACCAAAAATTAAATGAAAAACTTGGGAGTTTTAAAAGAATACAGTTTTATTGGGAAAGCAGTTTTTGACATCTGACCAGTATTTTTATGTGTCCAGAAACACTATGATTAGTATTATTCATATTCAAATATATATATATATATATATATATATATATATATATATATTATTTCAGCTATTTTACTTTTTTTTTAAGTGATATCTGTTTTCATGTTTCAAACTGTAACTTCATTTGCTACATCTATTTATTAAAAACTAAAAACTAAATATATTAAATGTATATGGATGGTAGGTGTTAAAATGTTAAATGTTTATCAATGTGTAGCTGTTCTCTAATATACTTTATTGTTGATGCACCAAACACATATTTTGAATACAAAATTCTGGTAAAATATTAAAAAAAAAGCATTGAAGATGCAAGGGGACTAAGCTTTGATTAGAAGGCTTCTAGTAGATGGTTTGACATTTTGTAAGCGGCACAAGATTTGCTGCAAATCAATATGGTTTCGACAGGAAAAAAAAGTGCTCACTTCAATAAAAAGATATTTCCCTTTTGAGACATTTTTAATGCAGATGAGACTGGATAATTTTTAGAGTTTTACCCAATAAAACTTAGACTTCGAGAGGAAAAAGGTATTCTTCTATTTCTACATAATACTCCGTATCAAACTAAGAGAACAATATATTTGAAAAGTTACTTATTAGTCCAGAAAAATAAGGTAAAAAAATACTCTTTTGGGGACTCTAACGAAGCCAGGTATCTGACAAGTTTTTTGAGTTTTATTAATCTTAGTAGCCAAAACCAATATTTTTGTGTAGTGTGTTCGGTGGACTTTTTGGGCTATTAATAATTCAAGGCCAAAAATTCACTATCTTAAGAACTTTCGTCTACCTGTAAAAAGTAACGGATTTTTAATGAATTTTGAGTTAAAAAACGTTTGAAGCTTTAAAATGACGATTTATGAATATTTATTTATTAATTTGTTACTTAGAAAACCGTAACAAACAATAACATAAGTCAGAAAATAAGAAACGTACAATGATTCCATGGGTAGCATATGTAAAAGAGAGTTATTCTTTCAAAAGAATATAAAAAAAAAGTTAAAAAAAACTTACAACATTGCAAAACATTGCAATTACTGGCTTATAAACAATTTGCTATTGACCAGAGAAAAACTATTTTTAATTTCAAAAAGCTGGCAAGAAAAGTAGTCCTGCGATTGTTCTGGAAGAAATCAGTCCCTTTTTTCAAATCGGCTATAACGAAAAATGAAATATGAAAACTTCAAACTCGAGCTATAAAATATCTCTGGTCCTTGTCGGTGAATTTTGAAGTTTCTTTTTATAATTTTTATGTACTCTTGTTCACAACAAATGTGCTATTTGTTAATAAATTTAATGAGAACGTAACGTTAAAAATTGTTTAAAAAAATTTTGGAAAAAATAATTTTTATGATACTTTTAGGACGATTTTTGTTGACAAAACATTGGAATAGATAATTATCAATACTTATTTATTCAAAATTCTTACTTTTTTCTTCTTTAATTTTGCGATAATAATAACAATAGTGAATAATATCTTATTGAGATATTATGTACAATTTTAATTTTATCAATTATTTACAACAATTTATGTACATTGAAGTGTAAGTGATATATTTCTATGTTTTTCAATTAAAATCGTTCTAGCAAAATCGTTTAAAATTTTGTCGATAATTTGTATAAACAGTTTACATGATTAATTTAATATTAAATTTATTAACAAAAGGCACATTAGCGCATCTTTTAAAGTACTCCTCCTCTGAACTCTGAATTAGAGCTCCACATTTTGAAGACTTGTAAATGACTCTGTTTGAAACTTGGTACATTAAAGCTTCGGTCCTTGATCTTTCAAATGCGGCTATTTAGATTTCTTGATTGTTATTGTGACGGGTAGCTCTTTTAGACAGCAGACTCAGAAAACTCAGGTCAATTAAAGTTTAAAGAATAGAAGTTTAAATTTGAAATTTGACACAAGACATTCGCACAGAAAATCTGAACACCAAATGCCCAATCTGCGCTTGCGCCTAGCTGTCCGGCTGATATTTCTGGCGTGTACCTAGATCCTTGTATTAAGTGACTAATCAACACTTATCCACGGAATAAGTATGTCTCAGATCAACACGTAAGACCGGTAAGCAATCACCACTAGATTAACAGTTTAGCACAATCAGTTGTCCTTTAGTCATTACCTTAGTGCCAGTGGAGTTTTTTCCAGGTATAATACTCTGATAGAACTCCATTATATCGTGCGGCAGCTCCTGTTTTATACGTTCGTCGGCCTTCCATCTTCTCAACCGTGCATCGATGAAACTGGAACTCGATCGAGGAAGTGCGTGTGTACAGTGAGTTGACGGGATGGAGACGATCGTTACAGTATAAACAAAGAAGCTACAAATTAAAAAAAAAAAAGTGACTAATTTCGTCCCTAATTGTCGCAGGACAACTTTTTTAATTTCTGAGAATATGAAATATTCCAATATGAAAAATATTTTTTTCCTAGGCAATAGTAAAAAATAATTTTTTTCTGACTTATGTTATTGTAAAAATATGATTTGAGATAAATAAATTAAATAACTTTTCGTGACTGCACTCACTTGAATAGCTTATTTCTTTGGACTACATTTTTACTTTTTGATTTGTGGTTTATAAAAGTTTGAATAGAAATAGGTGGAAAATAGAAATAGGTAAAAAATTTTACGGGAGGTCTACGTTTAGCAGTGGACAAATATAGGCTAATTGATGATGATCATAAAATTTTGTGAAAAGGTAATGAAATTTCCTCTGTTAAAATATAAAAAAATATACCTGTTTTGTGCATCAACACTATTTCTATGATATCTTAAAAACAATATGAATTTTCTAAAAAAGTTTATTATAAATTTATATTTAAATCTTTTAAGAATATTTTGTTAAATTTTTAAAATTGTTATGTTTAAAATTAGGTATTTTAAATATGTTTCATCGCTTAACACGCACTAAAAAATAATAATTACAATAGAATCTCACTAAACTGGCCAATAATCCGGCATCCTCCGCTTACGCCTCTCTACCACTCTGCTACAAAAGTTTAAAACAATTTAAAAGTTAGGTCACAAGTAAAGAATTTGGTGAATTATAAGACTTATCCAGAAGTTTATGAAAAGATCTAACTTGCCTACAAATGCGATACTCATACTTGACAATGCTCCAGGACACCCACACTAACAAAATCTTAACCAAGTATGGAAATATCCAAGCCATCTGCCTACCACCAAACTGCAGCTACCCCCTTCATTCTAGCCGATTGCTGTATTAAAATTTGATCCTTCGAATGGTTTCAAAATTAATTCGAGAGATGTGAAGATTTAAATTCTTGGTTTGTAGGTACATAGGTACCGAGAAATAGAACAAATTATGAAATATGAAGAAGAAGAAAGTCTAGTAAAATAGTTTGGAGCCAACTAACTAGTTGTAGAAGTAAAACCAGATAAAGCATTTAATTACTTCAATACCAGAATAACATTGGCTTCGAAACATTCAAACAAATGTTTTTAAATAAAGATTACAAGTGAAACGAAAACAAACCTTAATTTAAGGATTATTTTAAATATATTAAAAGTATGTAATTAGTTAAATGTGAAATATGTAATAAAACAGTTATAAAAAAAAACGTATAGAACACGTATACGTGTTTTATACGTATATGCGTATATACGTATATGCTTATATACGTGAAAACGTATATAAGCACAATTTATTATTATTTATTATGAATTTTTTATTCTATACAA